CCCGCCATGAATTTACCTCAGCAGCAGCCCCCACCGCCCGCGGCGCCGCAGCAGCCGCAGAGCCGGAGGTCGCCCGTCAGCCCGCAGCTCCAGCAGCAGCACCAGGCGGCGGCGGCCGCCTTCCTGCAGCAGAGGAACTCCTACAACCACCACCAGGTACGGCGTGCGGCGGCCGGGCCGGGACACGGCGGGCGGGCGGCGGGGAGGCCGGGGACCCAGGCTCGGCCGCGGCCACTCGCCCGAGTGAGCGTGGGACGGGGAGGGCGGGCGACGGTGACGGGACGCGGGACCCCAACCCGGCGGGCACCGGCCGCCGTGGGCTGTGGGGGTTCAGGAGACCGGTTCGCGCTGGAAGCCGCCGCTGCCGGGCGCCCCCTCGAACGCCCCGGCCGGCGGTGGGGGCTGGGGCCGGGCGGAATGGCGCCGGGTCGCGGGCGGGCGGCTCCTCGGGCTCTGCCGGTGACCCTGGCCTGGAGGGTCGCCGTCCGGGGCCACCGACACGGGGAGATGCGGCGGGGATGGCGCGGGCTCGGGGGCCTGGGAGGAGCGGCCGTGGGAAGAGAGCTTGGGCAGGAGCAAATTGAGCGGGCAGCCGGTGACTGCCCCGCGGTCCAGCGAGGGGACGGGCAGGGAGGCGGTTTTGCTTTCGAGTGGGTTTCGTTCTCAAGTGGCCCGCCTGGGGTCCCGCTGCGGAGCCGCCCAGGGGCGGCCGGAGCGGCCGTCGAGCCGCCTCCAACGCCCGCCGGGCCAGCCTGCCAGCCGCGCCGCGCCGGGCCGTAGCCGACTGCGGGGACAGCGGCCGCGCTCCGGCCGCCCGACCCGGCAACGACGCGGGCTGTTCTTAGGCTGTCAGGGCTGAGAAAGAGAAACTGGCAGCGACGGCTGGGTTGGCTACAATACTAACGCCTAGCGTTTGTTTTAGTTTCGTGCATTTTAATGTTTGAGCATTATCTTGTGGATTTTAGGGAAAGACTAAACTTGAACCTGGGACTAGTGTGTTTCCTCGTAGACTTGGGTGCACTTTTCGGTGGCCTTAACCTTTTGTAAGGGAATTACGGGGTCTGTGTATTTTAAGTAGGTGATCTAATGAAATCATGCTGACTAGGATTTTTATTTGTCCAAGTCCTTTTTGACTCACGATCCTTTTTAATGTCCTCAGTACAATTTGGGGGTGACTGCTTGGTTGGTAAATAGACATTGAAAGTGTCTGTTTTTAAAAGTAGTCAGCATTTATTATAGCGATCGTTCCGTTTAAGTCCATTCCCATGAAGGATTGACAGAGAAACAAACATGACCTTAACCAGTGCTTGCTAAGCTCACGTAACTGTTTCAGTTGAGTGCGGATTTCCAGGGTTAACCTTTTCAAAAGTGAATACTACCTAAATTAACCAAAGTAACAGCAATTTATGTAAATTCGCAAACAGCAGTTTTTGTCAAATCACTGGTTTCTGAGGAAAGAGAATGTTGTGGCCTATAAGGGTTGAAAATATAAAATTGCGAAATAATGTTCTACTTGTCTATGATCTGCATAATTTTGAGCAACTGTCTTTTGTGTCTCAGGGTCTTCATTTTTTTTACTGGAAAGTTGCCACAGAAAAGTGTCTATAGGTAATTTTGTATTCTTAAAGTCGTGATGTAGAACATTAGACAGACACGATCTGTATTTAACTGTCATCTGCTTTGGGGTAAAAGACAGGTCTCTCCATGGAGTGTAAGAGGTCACACAGCTTTCATAGGGAACTTAAGGTCACTGAAAGAGAACTTTGAACATTGAATCATTTAGCAAGGAAAGTAAGGCCCCTCAAGACTGGAGTGATCACGGTCCCCTAGTATATAGAATATAGGGTATATTCATGATGATATTAGCATTTAATTTTTAAAAATTGGTGCTATAAATCAAAAATCCTTTTTAAACTGTCTTTTAAGAAACATGTTTAACCTTAAAAGTGCTGTGTTTGAATAACTGTATAGTCTATCCTTCTTTGGCTGCATCTTAGCACCAAATTATTAATGTCTAAACTTATTCACTGTCAAATTACCAGCAGTGAAGTCCTTGTTAAAAAAAAAATTACAGCTTTTTGGTGGATTTTCTCTTATTTGATGACTTAACTGACCTTGCCATAGGTTTTACGTTGAGATCAAGTTAATTTTTGAAAATAAGTGAACTTAATGGAGACTCGTATTAAGATCTCTACTAGAATAATAAAAGCGCATACACCGTCCTTGTTTACTGGGTAGTGTGTCTCAGTGGATCCACCTATGGGTGACAGCCCATAATTGCTTTAGAGTTAATGAATTATTAGATGAACTGAAAAATAAAAACAAAATACTTTAAAAGAATATATTAAAACTAGAATAAAAGACCTTAAGCACTGAATAAACAATGCAAAGAAAAGGCATATTTCCTATACTATCCCTAGCCCAAAAGGCAGTTTTAGTTCCTGCAAGAGAGTAACACCGAATGTATCACGGTTCATTTTTTTGTAGTGACACAACTTGTTTTGGAAACTACGGTCTAAATATTTCACTCATGTGATAGGGATATTTTAACTAATAAAAGCCATATTTTTAGTTGTGTGACTGATGTAATGTGGTTGGTTGAAGATCAGCATGCAGGTTATATCTTTTAAAAGTCTAAACAGTTAAATTCAATTTAAAAGTGTGTGTTTTTCCTCCATAATTATCATGTTTACAGTTCTCTAAGAAAGGGAAAAAAGCAGGTACATGATCCTATTTTACTAATTGTCATGAAATACCTTTAAATTTATGGTAGATAAGAAGATAAAACCTGGCCCAGCATCAAGTATGATTTCATAGAGCAACATCTCAAGCTCAAGTTAAAATGTATTACTTTGCCTTTATATATTTCATGTTTTTAAGATCATATAAGTTCTTAGCTTAGGTCTAAAGTTTGAATTGTAACCTCTTTAAATACCTGTAACGTATATGGATGTGATTTCTTTCCTCAGCCTCTTCTGAAACAATCTCCCTGGAGCAACCATCAGAGTGGTGGCTGGGGCACTGGAAGTATGTCGTGGGGAGCAGTGCACGGCAGAGATCATCGTAGAACTGGCAACATGGGGATTCCAGGAACTATGAACCAGATATCTCCACTGAAGAAACCATTTTCTGGTAATGTCATAGCACCACCGAAATTTACTCGCTCTACTCCATCACTGACTCCAAAATCTTGGATTGAAGATAATGTGTTCAGAACAGATAACAACAGTAACACACTCTTACCCTTACAGGTAAGAATGGTATGTAAATGGCCTTATCTCTTACGTTAATTTTTTGAAATCGGAAGCTGGGTGGTGGTGGTAGGAGTAGCAGTAGTATAGTAACAGTAACAGATTTTTTTTTTTTAATTTCAGGTTAATATGAGGGTAAAAACAACCAAGTCACAATATTTGAATTTGTTAGATAGAGTCCCTTTTGTCGTTATGTCTTAGGCCCAAAAGGTTTATTATTTCTGATAGGCTCCCAAAATTTCTTTGTCTCATAATCTGGCTAAGCTCAAATGTTCTGTAATTGTAATTATTCATAGAAGTGACTATGGTCAGCTGTATATGTGTTAAAATATACTTAGTACAGCTGTGATTATGGCAAAATAATAATATTAGGGTTTTTGCATATAATTCATATTTGTCTTCACTAGTTCAGTGAGTATTTTTTTCCTAAATGTTATTATCCTTAAGACTTTTTTTTTTTCCAGGCCTTTTAATGTTTTATTGAATATTTTGTTGAAGTTCCTTTATGGCTCTTTCAAATGAGATTTCTTTCTTTTTTCCCCCTAAAGCCTTAGAGGATGGAAGGAAAGTTTAAGATAGAAAGAACTTTGTTTTTTTTTTTCCTTTCCTTTTTGGGAGGGGTGGGCATGGGGGAAAGAACTGCTGATTTCTGATGAAAACTTCTATGCTATTGAAGGTGAGATCTAGTTTGCAGTTGCCAGCTTGGGGCTCAGATTCACTCCAAGATAGTTGGTGCACTGCAGCCGGAACATCCAGAATAGACCAGGTAGGCTGCACAGTGTATATTTTTCAGGATTTTGGCTAGGAGTTCAGTATTTATATTATGAGTAGGATTTATTATTTATGTTCCAATTGTACCTATACGCTTTAGAGGGCATGAAAGCAATTTATATTTATGGATCGCCTGATAAAAACTATTTACTATAAAATGTTTTATTTTCAAATATTTCCAAGACATGATAAATTTATTTTTGGAGAAAGGAATTAATTATATACCCAAGAGCACCTGACTTTAAACACCAGTCAAACTAAGCATATTTGCTTTCAGAATCATAAGTAATTAGGTGCAGAGTCATGTTCACTGTGTTCACTTAACATCCAGCTTTATATTCTATCAATGTTCTACAAAACTTTGCAGTGAATTATCATCATATCTGCTACATTTGTTTTCAGATGTATTTCTTTAAAAATACACTGTTCGTTTTTTCACTTTTATAAGGAATCTTTATGATACAGTATTTTATTCTAAATTTTATTACTGCTCTTATATTCTGTCTCCTTCCAGACAGCTTCCTATGGAGCAAACCTTAGGCAAAAAGCTTGGAGTTACTCTTAATCAAATTGCCTGCGAGCTCTTTGTGGTTACCGACTGTTGTCTTTCTTACTGTGGACTGAATTTGAATGCAGATTGGGTGCCAGGAGATGAGGATTATCTCAGGATTTTGAAAACTCAGTCCCTGTACAGGAGAATTTTTTCTTACAGAGCTCAAGTTGGAATGAGCATAGACTTGACATTGTGGAGTTATGTGAATGGAGCTGTTATCCTTAGCTGAGGCTCTTCCTTAGTTAATTTATCAGCATGAGATGATTTACAAGTAGGGAACTGTTGAAGCAGATTCGTAATACATTTGTAAACAGCATTCTAATCTAGGGGGTTTAGCACTAATTTAGATAATCAGCCATTACCAATTGTTTTAGGCAAGTACTACCTGTTTACCCAAGTAGTCCTGCCAGGATCTTCATTTAGAAAGAGCTGTCCTCTACTGTAATTTGCAACTTGTTGTCTTGTAAATGTAAGTTAAGTATTTATTTCCTATTTCTATTCTTCTTTACTCTGGCTCAGTTAAGCCGTATTAGTGACTTTTTTAAAGGTAGCACTTTTATATTATTCAAATCGAATAGCAAATGCCTAGGAGATGATAGTATGTTAGGAGAGGAAAATTAATATAATTATTTTAAAAGTGGCAAGGGAAATGTTGTCAGAGAGGAAGGGACATCATTATTCTAAATATGCAGGCAGAAGCAGTATGCGTCTATAAAAGAGCCGTATCTGTAGAGAAGTAAGAAGATAATTAGCTGGCATTTGGCATAAAAGGTCCATGAGTGGGGGCAGATGTTGAAAAGTTAGGTATGGAGATGGTTTCTACCGAGGGCGATAAAGTGAGACTCTGTCTCTACAAAAAAAAAAAAAAAATTAAAAAAAAGAGAGATGGTTTCAGTTGGGGAGTGCTGGAGAAGGTACAGGTAGGTGGCAGTGAAGCTGGCCTCCGGTGCTGCCTGGGGACAAGGGCTCGGGCCTCCCGCTTAGACGGCAGTCAAAGCCACTCAGCTTCTACCTGGTTTATAACCGGGGTTTTAGGTAAATTCATTCTAGGAAAACATAACTTTAGTGCGTAAACATAAAGAAATGTATTTGGTAAGCTGCTGAGCTGCCGGCATTCCCTGTGGACTCTTGAGCAGATGGATGATGTAATGAAGTGGAAGTCAACGGGAAAAAAGAGAGTGGAAACCGAACTGAACTCCGGAAGGAAAGGAGGCCTCAGACCTGGGCCTGCCTCTTTTTCCTTTATGACTTGCAGTGACACCGTTTACAGGCTTTCATCTCTCCAGGTCATCCTGTCCTTATCTGGAGAAGGAGGACCTTGGACTGGGCCGTGTGAGGCCTTTTCAGGCAGCTCTGACTCTCAGAACTGCTTGGGCCACTGCTTCTCCTCCCTGCCCTCCACACCCCTGCCTTTATTTTTCCAACACAAGCAGTGTGGTTTCTTAGGGGGAGGGTTCCAAGGCACTGGGCTAAAGCAAAGGGGGTAGCATATGACCTTCTAGCTAGACTTGAAAGCAATGTCATTGTCTCCGTAAGTACCCTGAGGGCACTTATACATAATTTGTTCTGTTTCCATCTTTCCATAAAAGGTTGAGGTATTTGAAGTTGAGGCTCTTAAAAATGCAGCAGCAGCTACAAACTGCAATTGGTATTCTTAAAACATTGGGTAGTTTCTCATTATTTGGCAAAATTAAAATTACAGAAATTATTTAATCACAAATATTTGAAGTTATTTTTTTCATTTCTAACCTTTTGTCTTATACAACTTTGTAATACTAATATATTTTTGTTAACAAATGCATTATTTTAAAGCATTTAACTTTTTATTTTCTTTAGTTTCAAACTTATTAGGCCAAGAATATACTAAATTCTTGAACTGAAACCTTAATTCTTAGACCTGGATACTTTAGGTTTACCTATTTCAAAAACCAAGCATATAATTGAACTCAATAAATTGAAGAGAAACTGTTCTGGAGTTTGATTCTATTTCAGTTGTATATAAAACTTTGTGATTGGTATTTCTTTATTTTAAATAACCTCTTTGTTTTTAAAAATGGAAAGCTTGAAATTTAAAATATTTTTAAAGCGAATATACATTTTTATGCACATTTCTGATGTTAACATGATTATTAGATATCTCTTTTAATTTCTTTAAGGCTGAGAATTACTTTAAAATGCTGTTAGCTAGTTACCCTTGCAAGAAATCATTCTTTAAAAATATGAATTTGGAATTACATTAAAATGGAATTTTTCAGCCAGGCAGAGTAAGTAGCATGTGCCTGTAGCCCCAGCTACTCCAGAAGTGGAAAGACCACTGGACCCCAGGAGGTCTAGTCCAGCCTGGCAACAGAGCATAATATCCTCTCAAAAAAGAAACAAAAATTTCAAGGAATTTTCAGTGAGATAGTATAATTACATTGTATTTGTTCATTGAAACCTGAATGTTTTAAATCAAAGAGTACGTATTTCTTTTTTTTTTACTGAAGTTACTGTTCTTACAAGTTTAAACAGGGCCTATCAGTTCACTGAAAACAAAGTGACATCATACAACACAAACCAGTGCAGTGCGTGGGGCCTATGAATAAATGTGGCTTGTCCCCACCTGGGGCTGTCAAGGTATTCAGCTCTGTGTTTTTGCTCTTAACGTAGTTCAAGTTTTGCTGAGGCTTACAGTGTGTGAACATGTCGTATAAAATATCTTGAGTTGATTGAAGGTGTTTCCCACCAATCTTTAATATGTAGGGTATTAGGAAAATGTGAAAGATGATAATTAGAAGAGTCTTTATTCTCCTTACATTAAAAAAGAAACAGTATATAGTAGTAGACTGAGACCAATTTTCTTATCTAATAAAAGATTCCTTAAATTGTGGTTATTAAACCAGATGAACTTCAGAGACATTGGTGGTCCTCAGACTGTTACTCTCTGACAGTGAAAGAGACTGAATGGGCTCTTGCATACATGCTTAGATACCGGAAGGCCATTAACACTTTCTTATTGTTTCCTATTCTGTGTTCATTGCTTTAATTGTGCTTAAAATATTTTCTACTTGTATTTCCATTTTCTTTAATCATTGAGGGTATTAGAATAGCGTTGGCCATTCTGAGCCTTCTAAACATTTCACAGACTTTTTTCTGAGAGTAACTTTCACAGCATTTTGTTGATACTCATTTATTTATTTGGTTTCCAATTTTTGCCTTCACAAAATTAAAAAGGCCTAAAATTTAATAACAATAACAACGTTTAAGATAAGGACTAGAAACAAAAACCTCATAAAGAACGAAGATAAATATATTCAGAAAAGAAATCAGACGATTGCTGCAATGAAATATTGAGCAATGATAATAATAAT